TCCGCATTTCTACAATAGGGGTCAATCTAGAACATGACAATAATATTCGCATAGCTCTATTCTGCAATTTTTGGAATCGATTTCTCTCATTTTGATTTAAGAGATATAATACTGTTGAGCAGTAAGTGGAGTGAGGTAGTATAAGAGAATTAAATAGAACAAGCCTTGACCACTTAGATAAATGATGTGAACATCTGTAAAAATAATTTATTTTAAATGAAATTGTTTTTATTAAATGGTTTGCGTGCTGTTTAAATTTAAGTTGTCGATCTATAATAACTCCGAGATATTTGTATTCATTTACCATATCAATTTCGGAAGGCCCAATCATTATTTTATGATCTTGTTCTACGAAGAGTTTATATTGCTGCTCATTGACAATTATGATGAATTTGGTTTTTTTACAATTAATATTTAATATATTAGCACAACACCATCTATAAACAACTTCTAAGCACTTATTAATCATTGTAACAATATCTATTATATTTAGAGAAGAATAATAAATGAACGCGTCATCTGAAAATAAGTGAAATAAACATTTAGTATGAATGTCTGCAATGTCATTGATATAAATCAAAAAAAATAAGGGACCTAGGACACTTCCTTGTGGTACACCTCGTTTTATTTCTAACTCCTCAGATACAAAGTTTTTAATTTTGACCTTTTGCCTTCTATTTGTTAAATAGTTTGAAATCCACTCCAATACTGTACCACTAAACCCTGCTCTTTCTAATTTCTTTAAGAGTCTATTCCTATCTACCGTTTCAAACGCCCTTTGAAGATCCAAAAAAACACCAACAGTAACATGTTTTTGATTAAGATTTCCTTTCAAGTCATCCAGCACACATTGTACCGCAGTTTCGCATGAATGCTTACTGCGAAAACCCGATTGAAATTTGGTTAAAAATTTGTTTGTTTCTATGAAATCAACAATTTGTTCATAGACTACTTTTTCTAAATTTTTTTCAGAGCAGCTAAGCATATTTTGGTCTGAAATCAGAAGCTTTATTAGATTTTGCAACTTTAGGAACTGGTACAATGGTGGAGACCTTGATATCATTTGGGACTTTACCAGATTCTAAAGAAGTATTGATAACATTTATCAAGGGTTTAGCAATATTGTCATAGGTATTTTTTATAAATGCCATGCCTATACCATCTGGACTGTTCTTATTGGGCATTGAGAAAATAATTTTTTTAAGCGTACTAAAATCAATTAAAGTAAATTTGGAAAAGTTACTGATATTTTCCCGATTAATATTAATGGGGAAGTCTGGACCATTTTTATCAATTTTATCCATAATTTTATCAATACTCTCAATGTAGAAAGAATTCAAATTATCTGGTATATCTTCAACTCTATCTATGGTTTTCTGTTCAATTTCAATTTCTAAAAAATCCGTATTGGCCACATTATTTGGAACCAACGTTTTTAGTGTTTTCCACAATTCCGTTGTATTATTTTTATAGTCATCTATCTTATGCTCATAATATTTCCGTTTTTCATTTCGTATTACTCTAACAGCAAGATTTCTTCTCTCTTTATACATGTTTTTATTTTCCTCTGTTCTATTGCTCATAAAGTTCTTATAGCTTTTATCTCGGTCCTCCACTGCCTGCTTAACACTACTGTTCCACCATTCTTTATATCTTGGGTAAATTGTAATTAATTTTTTAGGAGCTACTTCATTATATGCGATAATGAATCCGAAAGATGTCTAGATAAGTATGTATGAATAATGATTTCAAAAACTTTGGAGAAATTACAAAGTATGCTAACAGGTCTATAGTTGTCAAGATCAACTTTGGTTCCCTTTTTATAAACTGGTGTAACGCGAGATAATTTCCATAGATCAGGAAGCATGGCTGTTTTCAATATTAAATTAAAAATAGTACACAGTGGGGTTGAAAGAATTTGGGCGCAATCTTTAATGAAGAAGGAAGGAATATATTCAGGTCCAATTGTCATTTTTGGCTTTAATCTTTTTATAGCGTCTACCACTTCTTTATCAGATACATGATTTATAGATAAAATAGGTTAATTAACAGAAGTTGATTGAACAGATGCAATAGTACGTGTTGGTAATGTAAAATTGTTTGAAAAATGCTCTGCAAATGCCTGCAAAATATCGAATGGATTATTATTAATTTGTACTGAAGATAGAAAGCTCGAGGAGTTCTTAAAAGAGTTTACGTATGTCCAAAATTTCTGAGGATTTTCCTGAATATTATTTTCCATTCTTTCAGCATATTGAGAATGTGCAAGCTTAACTTGTCTATTAACATTAGTACGTGCGGATTTGAATGTATTTAAAGCCTCAAGAGAACCTGTAGACTTAAACCGACAATGAGCGTGATCTTTTAGTTTGATTATTTTGATAATAGACCCATTAAACCATGGAGGATACATTTTATTACTAGCTTTCTTTTTTGGAACATGTCGTGAAAATAATTAATATAGTTTTTCATTTAGTTTTTTTACACCGTCATTCACATCAGTTATATTATTTAAAAACTTTCAATCGATAGATTGGAGGTCAAAGTAGAGAGACACGTAATTGGCTTTTTTAAAATTAAGTTTTACTGCAGAAGAATTATTAGTTACATTATTAATTTTTTTATATTGTGATATATTTAATTTGAGTGATGGATGATAGTCGTCTTCTTCTACAATAATTTCCTCCGATCTTACAACTTCACATTGATCGTTATAAAAAATGAGGTCTAACATGCGACCAAATTTATTTTTAACCTGATTTAATTGTGGTAACTCGAAGTAATTTAGAAAATTCATAACAGTCTGGTAGAAAAACTAGGACCAATAATTTAAGCTGTATATTCAGGAACATTGAAGTCACCTATTATCATTAATTTCCGATTATACAGAATAGTAAGCATCGAAATATATTCAAATATCGTTTTAAGTCCCTAGTAGACGTGGCTTGTGGTATGAACAAAATTTACGAGGTTTAATTTTTATCAGTAGAACATCAATATTGATGATAACCTCAGTAAGTGAAGTGATATCTAATATGTTTGAGCATAAATCTTTTCTTATGGCAGTCAATACTCCACCACCTCTCGAAGTACCGGTTATATCATATTTACGCTCAGCTCTATAAACATCAAATTTTACTTAGATCAAACAATTCCCATCCATAATAGTATACTATTGCACCATGTTTCGGTGAAAAAATTACCAGGGAATTGAGTAATGGTTGAAACGTTGTCCAGGAGCTTGGTCGTTTTTGTTCTAAGTCCGCGAACGTTTTGGTAATAAAAAGAAATGTAAGAAATATGTGCATCAGGAGGAGCAATAAAGTTTCTCTTTTGAGTAACTGTAGAGGTCAGTATTTGCTATTGGGAAGGTATACTATTGTTTTTAAACTTTGTAAGTGCTTTGTGTAATAATGAAAATCTTTATCCCATGCTGCATGATCAACTGGTATATTTAAGTTATGATTAGTTTTAATGTTAAAGCAATTGCAATATTTAGAAAGACAGTCCTTTGATGAATGGTTTATAGAGCACTTTGGACAGGTAGGCTCATTTTTATTGCATTGAGTTGCTAAGTGATGTAGTCCCCAACAATTAAAACATCTACGAGGTTCAATATCACAGTATACCAGACCGTCAAAATTAAATCCAAGAGTCAGTTTGCCTAATTTTTAATATTAACATTAACAAATTCACAAGTAGAATTATCACTGAAACATGAGTCTTTAAGTAGTTCAATAAGATCGCATCGTCAAATTTTTCTGCCATGTTCGTCACTTTAATTCTTGGATGAAGAGAAGATATTGTTTTGACATTATATTTATCACCTAGATTATTATTAATGATTTCTCGAAATTTGGAAGAGTCTTTTTCTTTATTACAACTTATTACTAATTCACCATTACGTGTTGCTGTTACGTTCGAGACCTTAATATTAGAATTCATCGGATTGACATTACGTAAAATTTCGGATTTAGTTGTGGAAACTGATTGAGTAATATTGTTTTTTGGCTGCAAAATAAACTTGAATTGAGAAGCAACATTGGCGTAAGAAGGTTCAGCTATATTTGTAGAAATTGTGTCTTTAATCTTTCCTTGAATAGCTTCAAAACAGGATTCTAATTTTTGAGTTTTCGGAATTGGTCAAAGATAGCTTTGGTAACTTGTTCGGTAATAAGTTTAGAAAGGTTGGAACCGATATTAGCGATTTTCCTTTTCAGGTTTTCTTTTTTTTTTGTCGACAATTTCAATTTTTGTTCTGCAGGAATTATAAATAAAATAAACATTTTTCAACTTATGAATTACATACTTTAAAATCATTATTATCCATAAAATAGCACTCAGGATGAAACCAGGAACCACAAGGTTCCTCACAGCCAATAAGATTTTCATCTCTCTTTTTCAATTTGCATTTAGCACAGAAATCAGGCATTTTGCATAATTTTGTCCAGTTGGTTCACACCCAAGAAATAGTAATCAAGAGTAAAACAACCAAAAAAATTGTTGTGGTTAGAATAATGTAGACCAGATAGTACCTTTATATCATCCAAAGAGAAGGTTTTTAGACATACCTTTAATTACGTTAAGTCAAGGGACCATACAAAATACTTCAAAACAGTCACTGTAAATTAATTTTGTTTAGTTATTAAAAATAACATTAATTTTACACAGAGCAAGAAATATAGGTAGGTAGTTAATCAACTGCACTGCTATATCTATTACTACAGATTACAGATTACTATAGAGATAAGAAGAATTAAGCAGTCTGGGATTTTGTAAAATGTATTGGAAAGTTTTAAAAATCGCATGGCTTGTTGTATTGAAGTAAACGGACAATATTTTGAGCATCTGCTGTAATCGCCTTTACTTTATGTTTTTTAAAATTTAAAAATATTTGAAAAACGTTATTATTCATTTTTTATTTGTGTGTCATGTTTAATTTTTTTTTTAGAAATTGCTTAAACAATTTCGTTTTAAACAAAATAAAACTACATGTAAAACACATTGCGCCGTTTAATTATTGTATTTTTTAGAAATAGTTTAAACAATTTGGTTTTAAACAAAATTGGATCATTTATCTTATATTTAATACAGCTTTAAATAAATAACAAAAACATTTTCGACACTCATGTGTCGTTTGCTCCTAGAATATTGGGTCTCTCCCTCAAGTTAGATCCCAATAAATACAGGTACTTTTAAGTTATGTAAAAAAATCTTTTAAAATTTGTTATTTTTTTAACACCTCATTATACACTTCCTTAAGCATATGTCTATCAAATATTTGAACTTTAGTAATACTCCTTAAATATTTTTTATTTTCATCATCGAATTTGTGAATGTTGACATTTTCAATAATTTTTCTGTGACCTTTTTCAAACACATCTAAAATTTTAATTATTTTTTTAACAAAGTTAAAATATTTGTAATCATGCAGTCTTTTTACAAAGGTGTTCGTACTTTTTATAAAACTGGCAAGTTTAACCTCCTTGTATAACCTACAACTTTGTTGTATGTCATCCATATCGGCAACTATGAGTCCAACTAACAAATTGTTTAAAATTATTGTCATACAAAAAATAAATACAGTCATTATCAGTCTTCCAAATACTGGATAGTCCGTAGGCTCCAAAACTCTCTCACTAAATTCCCCAGTAAAATATATTAAGGTATAAAATAAACTTTTCGAAATATCCCCCCAATCTGGACCAGTAATATTAGTATTATTGTTATTAATTAGAGATACATCTGAGTTTTCGAATGGAAACACCAAATAGAAACAAATCGAAAATGCTACAAATTGTATGGAATAAAATGCCATATACTGGAAAAAATAATTAATAGAACTAAAAATAATAGTATATTTGGTAAATACTGGCAGTTGTCCTAGTAACAGAAAAAATATAAAAGTTGAAAACAAAATACTCCCTACTGCGCTATAAATATTTGGTAGAAAAAATAGTTGTTAAACAACAAGCTATAGTTGCTATTTCTAAGATGTTTGGCGGATCTAAAAAATACTTCCATCTGTACAAAAATGCGAATTGTATGGATTCTTTAATTACATGGAAAATAAGCAAAAACCAATAACAAATATATAGACCCTTTGTGTAATGTCCAAAATATTGACAAACCGTATACCAATATATTCCCATTAACAAAAATGTATAAAAAAGTAAGTCAACGTAGAATACCAGGTAAATTTTAGACCATTTTACACGTATTAATTGTATTAATAGAGGATGCGTTAACAACTGTTGCTTAATTGTATCAGTTACTAGAAAATGCAGAGTTTTATTTTCATTATAAACTTTATCATTGTCTTGTATAATACTGTTATAGTTAAATGTCGTTCCGTGTATACAATCATCAAAATGTGTTTTAAGCAACGAATAGTCCATTCTTTTAACTACCATTTCGTTCTTGTCTTCCTCCATTTTTCTATTTCCTTCTTTTTTGCTCTCCGGCATATACGTAAGACTAGCACCCAAATGCAAAATTTGTTGAATATTCTCTGAGTCATTTAGTTTTTTATCATCATTTTCTAAATTTAGTTTATACAAGACTTTATTTAAAATGTTACACCTCTTTGGAGTCAACATTTTAGTATCCTGTCGAAATAGAAAAACCAATTTGTTTAACAGGAGATACAATACACAATTTCTGTAAAATTCATGATGTTGCAACTTGAACTGTGTTGAGAATAATTTTGATAATACATCAAAAATTTCTTGAGGTTCTATATTGCTATTTTTGTGTTGGAGAAGAATGGCTACAAAAGGATAATAACCTCTTAAAGAAGAAAATTCCAGAAGAGTTTCTTTAAATTTTGGGGGTTTTATAAAAGTATCTGCACCGTTGTCTAGTAAATGTATCACACACCTGAAATTAAAAATTAATATATTTACAATAAAATTGCCTTAAATTTGCTTTCTTTATTACCTTGCAAGTCCTTTTGTCTTAAAAACCGTTAACATAGGATTATCTTTAATATCATAAGTGTTCAGTCTTTTGATTTTATAATGATCATTTTGCAAGTATTCCAAAAATCCTTTTCTCAGACAAAACTGAAGCATTGTACATGTGTCACCGTCGAAAGAGTTAATATTATCACTTAATGTAGAGGTATCATAATTTAAAAAACTTTCTTCGTCACCAGATTTTAAGAAATTGAACCTAATCCTCAAAGGATCTTCTTGAATATACGATTTTGGAAGAGTTATGTAAAGGTTCCATTTTAGATATTCTTGAATGGTTTTACCCGACTCTATGAAGCTGTCTAAATCTATGGAATCTACTGTTAACAATAGATTTATCAATTTCAAATATCTGTATCTTACTGCTAGGCATATTGGAGTTTCGTTCCAAAAGTTTGTTTGGTTAACATCAATACCTATAAACAAATATAAATAAATAGTAGGAAATGTAGTATAAGTTATTGTTTTTAATGCATTTCTAACTTAGGTATTCAGTAAATTTGATATATCTTAAGTTATGTATATATTAAAACTCATGATGGGTTAAGTTCTACCATATGTTCGAGTATAAGTAAAATAATAGTCAAATTAATTAACACTAACCATTTAAACTGACGGGATAGTGGATCTGAGGTATTTTTTATTCAAAATATAGTATTAGAAATGTGCAAGTAAAAAAAGGATATTCGTGAATACTTTTCTCTTTGACAAATATAATTTTTTTAATAACAAAATTACTGACAATTCTCAAACTAAGACTAACATTAAGTATATTATGGGTAATTATAATATATGAACTCTAACAATCCTCCCCCCTGAGCTTAAATCCAAATCTTTTTACAGGTTTGACTAGACGTTTACTTCTTATCTCCAAACTTTCTTCTTCCTCTTCTTCTTCTTCTTCTTCTTCTTCTTCTTCTTCTTCTTCTTCTTCTTCTTCTTCTTCTTCTTCTTCTTCTTCTTCTTCTTCTTCTTCTTCTTCTTCTTTTTCTTCTTCTTTTTCTTCTTCTTTTTCTTCTTCTTCTTCTTCTTCTTCTTCTTCTTCTTCTTCTTCTTCTTCTTCTTCTTCTTCTTCTTCTTCTTCTTCTTCTTCTTCTTCTTTTTCTTTTTCTTCTTCTTCTTCTTCTTCTTCTTCTTCTTCTTCTTCTTCTTCTTCTTCTTCTTCTTCTTCTTCTTCTTCTTCTTCTTCTTCTTCTTCTTCTTCTTCTTCTTCTTCTTCTTCTTCTTCTTCTTCTTCTTCTTCTTCTTCTTCTTCTTCTTCTTCTTCTTCTTCTTCTTCTTCTCTTCTTCTTCTTCTTCTTCTTCTTCTTCTTCTTATTCTTCTTCTTCTTCTTCTGTTTCTTCTAGAAGTGTCTGTCCATTCACTTCGTCTTTATCATTTTTTTCTTTCCCATTTAGCTTCTGTTTCTGCTCTGAATATTGCTTAACCCCCTTCTTTTCTAAGCGCCCTCTCCTCTCCTTCATAATATGAACCTTACTTACGCAATCTGCGTCTACTTCCAATGGGTACAATTTTTAAAAACGCCTTAATATTTCCCTATGTTGTAATTTTACCTTTGCTGCTCTGTAATTTCCATCTCTTTCTTTTATTAACTCTATAATCTTACCCAATGGCCAATTTATTCTTTTTATATTTTCTTGTTCCACATAAACTACATCTCTAGTTTTCAGTGTTCTAGGTAGTTTTCTCTGCTGGAGATGATGAATGAGTTACGCTAGGTATTCATTCCTGAATCGAGATCTAATATCGTCTCTTAATTTTTGTAAATATCGTCTGACTATATGATTTCTGTCGATGTTGTCCAAGTCTGGTATTTCAGTTTGTCAGGTCATAAAGAAACATCAAGTGTGTCAATGAAATTAAATCATGATCATTTTCGAAAACATACGTCAGCGGCCGAGTATTTATTATCGCCTCGCAATCGCAAAAAACAGTTCTTCATAATTACCGGATGCTTTTTCTAAATTTCGCCGGAGTAATTCTTTGATCATTCTTACATTATGTAAAATTCTTTCATTATCTGAGTACAAAACTAAAATTCATCCCCTTCTGGCAATGAATCTTCTAAGTGACAATAAGAAATTATCTGTGGTGGATATAGCTGTTACCAACTCCAAGTGAGTTGTTCTAAATACCCATATATTTGAACCATCTTTTAAATATAATGGACCAGTTAAATCCACTCTTGATATCTCGAAAACAACTGCATTATTTATTCTTTCTTTTGGAAAAGTGCTAAAGAGGTTGATATGGCTTTGCTATTAAAGCGTTTACACGTTATGCATTTTGAGGTAACTTTTCTAATGATTCGTCTTCCTCTTACAATCCAACAAATTTCTCTAATAATAAATACTGTCACGATTCTTATAATTTTATATTTTTCCTAATTTTAATTAATTATTTAAATAACATCCTGTACATAAAGCTTTGTTTAAATATGTCAACAATTTGTTTTAAATAGCAATAATGTGCAAGGTTGGTTATTTAATAATTATTAAACATTAATAACAATAAACTATGAGAAAGTTATAAAGGTAATGTCGAGGGGATCCACGAGGCTTTTTTCCAAAGGGAACGGACCCTCCCCATAGGAGATCCCCCTTGTAGGAAATTCCCAGTAGCAGCTCTCCATGGTTTAAATTAAACGTATTTTTTTCTTTATATTTTAAATCGCAGTTTTAATGGTTAGGCAAGAGTTGTGACATGTGCCCCAATTATTTGTTAGAGTGGTAAGTTTACGTTTTGTATACTTATTATTATATTGAGCCTGTATTTGTGTATGTCGAGGTAAGACATATTTTTTACAATCATTGTATTTATAATATTATACTTGTTTTGAGACCACTGTGTTTTCTTCAGCCCTTAGATTAGGTTCTGATATTAAGAGTAGAACCCTTATCTAGTTAAGGGCTACGAAGCCAAGTTTAAGGCTAAATAGTGTTTATGTGATTGAGGCCCAAATTCATATATTTTGTTATTTAACCCCCGGGACATAGATAGTCCCATAATTATTTAAAACACGTAAATCGTGACAATTATGAAATTGTGAAATAAATCATCCGTGGTCCATAAAAAAACCGAAGATAAAGGTATCAAAAATTAAGAAAGGCAACTCATAAAAGTAGAATTAAAGAATCAAAACGTTTAGAAATAAAATGTATTGCGATTAACACCATTCAAAAATCAGAACTCAAAGACTGACAATTTGCCTAATACCTTTTATTATAGAAAAAACTAATACACATTTCGTTTAGAAAATTATTACCTCTAGAAGTAGGAAACGTCAAAGGAATTTATAACACAAATAAATACAATCTACATTCTAACTGTAGAAAAAAATCATTACCTACAGTAACACAAAGATATCTCTTTTTTCATAACTAAATATTTTGAAAAATAGGTTTTTAAACATAATTTTACGAAATAAAAATTTTATTGGACCCAATAAAACAAAAAACATTAAATAATCTGTGCTTACAAAAATAAAAAAAAACAGCATTAATACAAAAATATCGAAGTTCGATGACCCAGTTAATAATTACTTGTAGGAATTATTAAATAAATTGTGAATCTAAATAAAAATATTCTTTTGTTTAGACTTATTAATTTCAACAACAAAACGATATTTAATCCATGCGAATTAATTATACATGACCTACTTATATTTAATAAAATTATATAATTCGAAACCATATTTTTGTAACATAAATAAATATTAATAAATTTCAATTAAATTTAGGAATCTTTTGTTCATACTTGTGTATAAAAATATATGCATTTTGGCGATTGATCAAAAAAATAAAAAAAATCTATATTTCTTTTTTGAAAACCACTGTGCGCCCAAAGAGACAAATACTATGAATTATATAAAAATACACTCGCTATACTCAATGCAAGGAATGAATGGGACAAAAAATATCAGTAAAATAGATTCTCTAATCTAATACCAAATACAAATGGGAAAATGTGCTAAAAACACACAGCTAAAAACAAGAAAATATCAGAATCTTTTATAATACGCTCGGAAAAAAGTTGTGGTACTTGAGGGTTCTTATGAAGAAGAACACCTCGGGAATTAAGCTAGGCGCCTCCACCATGTCACGTTATGCGTGATTTTATAAAGAAAATGTCACGATTTACGTGTTTTAAATAATTATGGGACTATGTATGTCCCAGGGGTTAAATAACAAAATATATGAATTTGGGCCTCAATCACATAAACGCTATTTAGCCTTAAACTTGGCTTCGTAGCCCTTAACTGTATAAGGGTTCTACTCTTAATAGCAGAACCTAATCTAAGGGCTGAAGAAAACACACTGTTCTCAAAACAAGTATATCATTATAAATACAATGATTGTAAAAAATATGTCTTAACTCGACATACACAAATACAGGCTCAATATAATAATAAGTACACAAAACGTAAACTTACCACTCTAACAAATAATTGGGGCACATGTCACAACTCTTGCCTAACCATTAAAACTGCGATTTAAAATATAAAGAATAAATACTTTTAATTTAAACTATGGAGAGCTGCTACTGGGAATTTCCTACAAGGGGGATCTCCTATGGGGAGGGTCCGTTCCCTGTGGAAAAAAACCTCGTGCTCCCCTCGACATTACCTTTATAACTTTCTCATAGTTTATTGTTATTAATGTTTAATAATTATTAAATAACCAACCTTGCACATTATTGCTATTTAAAACAAATTGTTGACATAATTAAACAAAGTTTATGTACATGATGTTATTTAAATAATTAATTAAAATTAGGAAAAATATAAAATTATACGAATCGTGACAATACATAATAATTTCTAGACGCCAGCGTGGTTGTGGAATTTATGCTGTCCCAATATAAATTTTCTAACAATTTCACGTTTAGATAGTAACAATATAGAAAATTTAAAATCGTATGGCTCATTGCTATATGAAAGTCTCGTTTTTAATCTCAAAATATTATTATCATTTGGAGTGAGGGTAGCCATATGTGAGTAGTAGGGATTAAATGTAAAGGTTAAAGAAAAGTCCTTTATTTCTCACAAAGTCAATTTATTGGCGACCGGTTTCGAAGTTGTCACTTCATCATCAGGCACACCTAAATGGAATATCAAGGAGTCAGTTGTAATAAAAACAATTATAAAAGCATGAACGGACTTTAACATATACAAAATAACAGAAAAAACACAAAAGAAAGTTAAACAATAACCTTGACTCACCTTGACTAATTCCATAAAGGAAGCGCTACAAAAAGTTTAACAGAACGAGTTAAAAAAGTCATGTGTAATAAGTATTTTTTTTTTTTAAATGTTTGAAATGTAGGTTAGGTTAAACCACCAGATGTCTTTTTGAATAAAATAATTAATTAAAACACATTTAAGACAATTATTAACTAAACAACACAAAATAGTTT